CCAGTGTCATCAAGACCTATCGACTTGGACAAATCCATTCAGAAGTTGGAGGAAAGTATGACCAGAATCACTTCAAATCTCGGCAATTATTATATGGCCATCCTTTTTATGTCAATGACGAAACTTTATTGAAGGGATCTCCAAACACGTTTCGGCTAGATCATATATCATTAATAATCTTTTAGCCCTCGGTTTAGCATACGGATTTTTTGAAATAGTCCCATTCCTGTAGGTTACCGCCAAATTTAAAGTTCGTTTTTATGTATTTAAAAAAAATTTTGATTTAAAAATAAATAAATCTATCGAGGTATAAAATCTTGAACTTATTTGTAAAGTTTTTTTTTTTTTTTAATTTAAATAGGAACGGCACTAGGGAAACAGAATTATAGGGTTACATTTTTAATGATTTTTTTTTTTTTTAAGTCGGTTATCCGAAAAATTTCGATATTTAAATACATAAAAAAATGATCACATGATATATCGTACGTCCTTACCGTCCATTTTAAACACAATATTAAATTTGATTGTTGTGATAAGGAATCAATCAGTCCTACTAAGGGAAAAAAAAAATCCTTTCAAAACTCTACTTTTTAGGATATGGGCTTTTTTGATTATTCTAAAAAAAATGTGAAAACAAATTAACACGTATGTGGTTGATTAGAAATTTAAACAGGTGCTTCTATCATGTGTCGATTTAATGTTGTTCAAGTTCACTTGATTCAAATTACATCATTCTACATATTTCTTTGATTAATTTCCTTTCTGGTATATATTATATCTGTCATAAGTTTTAACCATTTATTCTATGTTACAAAGAATTTTTCAGCCTTGTAGAAAAGTCTAAAGGAAATTTTACGCCTGATCATAAACAAACATTACATGAATCTTTTTTGATCTGTCCTTACAACAAAACAATCAGATCAACTTTTTTGATTATTTACAGGTTGATACATTTTATATATACTCTACATAAAAGTCGGAATTAAGTAATGCCGCAAGAAAATGCAATAAAGACTTTCTTGGTTTTTACCGCAATTTTTTTTTAAAACTTTATGTACCATGTTATTTTTAAAAATTTATTAAACGGTCGATTGTAAATAGATGGACAAATTTATTGGTCAATAAATAAAATTCTTAACGTGACTTGTAACAAACATACTGATTTGGCTCCCAATCAGATACTTATCGCATGTGTTGTCCTAAAATTATGATCATTATCGATTAATGAACGCGAACGAACATTTATACTTTGGAATGCTCACAAAATCTTCTTAGAGGTAAACTGATAATACATGAAAGAAACAAACATCAAAATAATTATTGAACTGATTATTTTTGAAATAAAGTCACGTCATTTAATTTTTTAGAAATCATGTATTCATCCATTTTCAGAAGTGTTATAATTAGAATTTTTTTTTTTTTTTTTTTCAGTCTTCTCACAAAAAATCAACTCCAATAATAATGAACAAACTTCTACTCAACTTTTAGAAGTTATTTCAACTAATCAGCTGGGTATGCTAAAGTAAAGATCGCGAGTGCCATAACATCATGATCTGAAAAAGAAAAAGCTCCAAAGTTTGGATAACATCAAATTTCCTTATGAATGAAATATTAAAGTAACATTGGGATAAGTGGATAAAGAAAAATTCAAAGATTATTGGAGTCATCACTGACCAAAATTAAAGAGAGATCTAGAATAATATATTATTAACATATTAATGGTCTGTTTCATTTAATGTAAACTAAAAATATTTTGTAAATAAATACATATTGATATAATAAATAAGAGGAATATTTAAATATAAAATCATTAAAAGCTTTCTATTAAACTTTGATGAATAAAATTTGTTTTATTATAAAAAAGATTTTTTTTGAATTTACATGAATATTATCTGAATACTCACCTTTGTATCCTCCCTTGTAAAAATTACATATATTTTTGTTTTCGGCTATGTATTTGTCCACACTTTTAAAGGATCTTACAAAAAAAAAAAACTTCATTCCAAGACGAATTTCATAAAACACAATACTATTAAAGCATTTGGATATTCCATTAATTACTGAATTTAGGGGTAAGGTTACACCAACCTCAGTTTGAATATTTTCATCGGTGGCTTAGAAATTTTATTAAAAAACGTTACATGTATCCAGGTATTAGAAAAAGTAAATGAAAACTTTCCATTTATTCAACGTTCAAGAAATTGGTGGTTTGGGAAAGTCTGTCATGCTAGTTTGAAACTTCAAACAACATCATGCGTTAAAATCTTAACAAAAGTCACCGTTAAAAAATTGTTTCGCCAGGTATTTACAAAACGTAATATGTATTATTTCGTTTATATTATTATACTGTATATCAGGTTAATTTAAAATTTAAAATTTTAGCTTGTGATACCGCTTGTATGGGTTTACTACTTCAAATCAAAGTATAAAATCTTATTAGGGATATATTTCGACTCTATATTTTATTTTTTTTTTTATAAAAAAAAATAATAATAAAAAGAAAATCAAAAACGATCAATTGAAAAAAAAAATGTATTGATTTATAGTGTTATATGCACCTAGAAGAATAATCTTGCTTGGGGAGATAAATGTTAAATTAACATTTCAGTTGGCTTCTCGAAAGAATTATATGGTAATTTCATATGATCTATATATTTCTGATGTTTACCATTAATAATTAAATATTAATTCATCAAAAAGTCATTTTAGAAATGGCAAGAGTCAACCTCTGGAAATTTGATCTAATCAATTAAACCTGATCAGTTTGAGCGGTAATCATCATTTAATTATTTTTTTTTTGCTTGAATAATGGTAAATATAAAAAATTGGCACAAGCTGATTGTTCGATTTTAACATTCGACGGGATTTTTAATTTATTATAGTTTCGACGGTACCACCATCACCGCCACTATCACCACAATACTACCACTACCACTACCACCACGATTCTAATTGATAAACCTTCCTTATGCCAGCAATTGAATATCCAAGCGAAAACATTACTACATAACCCTAATCCTATTATTTTTATTTCCACAAGACCTCAATTAGTTAATTATATAACATTGATCAAAATTCTTTTGATGAAAGAAACAAATTCAGAATAAGAAATTGGTATTTGTTTGGGTATGCGTAGGACCCTTAACAATAATGAGGAGAATAACGCGTCACCTTCAATATGATAATTAGCTTTTGAATTATTCAAAAGAAGGTAAGCGGAAGATTCAAATTAAGTATATTATGATAATAAATTGGAACAGTGCGTTTGAATTATATGAAAAAGGTTCAAATTTTTTTTACACGAGTAAACATAAACAGGTTGAATTAATATTTATTATGCAAAATGGACGACATAGTTTTATCCTTTTTTTTTTTAAAAAAAAAAAATCAATTTTTATAAAACAATTTTATTATGTATTTATTTTTCCAATAATAAATAATTTTACATTTCTTAATAAGGTAAGGATTTTCCAAAAATGTATGTTTTGTAAAAAATGTTAAAGCAATTTCATTTGATTTCCATTGATGCCATGTCGATCGATCGATCCGGGTTCTGTAAATATTGGTACGAAGAGAGAACACCCTTGGTAAATTTTAACTTTTCTGATTCCACATTGCACTAGGTTAAAAAATGAAGCCCGAAATGTGGGAAGTAATAAATTCTTTATTTAAACTACAAAAAATAATTAAACGAAAGGTTTACATTACTAGTTTGATTTTACGAGATTTATAGGAATTTGTCCGTTTTTTCACATAAGTATTATTTTTTCATGTGTGACCTGTCAATAAATTTGTACTACATTGTTTTTTAAAAACAAAAGATAAATTAGCCATCATTTTAAAGTCATCTCATGATATCACGAACTTTAAAAATTTTAAGCAATTGATTTCTTAATTCACCGAATCCCGTTCCAAAAAAAAAATCTAAAGAAATTTAAAAATTGAGCATGTTTGCTGATATTATAGATATTTTGCATTGGTACACTACACAAGAAAATCAAAATGATGTAAATTCACATCATATTATCAAACAATTTTTTTTGGCACAATCATTTTCATATCTCAAGATATTTGCATTTATAAGTTAACGACGTCGTATAATTTTTTTTTTTTGTGTGTGTAGTATAAAATTTATTATAGAATGTAGTATAAATTTATTGATTAGTTTAGTTTGATATGATATTTTTAATATTGAATAATTTTTACAATATCAATAAAAACTTTAAGACAATGAAATTCCATTTTTAAAACCAAATAGACTGTAAAAAGCACTTACTTCTTGATTTGTTATTTTCAGCCATCGGCTATGTGAAAAGAGATCCGTTATTGTATTTTGTATACACAAATAAACATTCCATGTGGACAAAGAAAATATCATATATCAAAATAATTGTTCATAGTTTGCAAAGTAATCGCATTACTTACTAAATATAAATGACAAGAATAAAAGAATCAACCCTTTAATGTTCTGCATTTATCCAAATATAAAACAAACGGCTTGTGTCTGCATTTTCTTATGCCAGACTACTTCATAATTTTATTAATAGTCACGAACTACATCACATATATAGCCATGTCTCGACCATTAAAATTACAGTTACACGGAAACTCATTTATACAGTATATATATCCTTACAATATACTGTATACTAGTATTTTTAATTTCCACTCAGAATGATTGTAACGTTTATTATAATTATAAAAGACGCTTCTATTTTTTTTTTTTTTTTAGTCAATAGAAGGAATTCTTTGACAAAGAATCTTATTGGTAGATTGGTAAGAAGGTGAAAAAAAAAAGCTTTATTTCTTAAAAAGAGCTTTAATAATGTAATCTTATTTAATTGACTAAATGGTTTAATAACTCCTTTATTAATCAAGTATCAAAGACCAAACTCCTTTAATATTTCATTGAGAAACGGACAATTGATTCCGTTAAAAAAAATTTTCATTCGATATAAATAAATGAGACGTTTCTCTCTCTTTTTTTTTTTTTTTTTCACTCAATTTTTATTGATCTCATTAACACGTATACAATCATTTTCCATATTCTTTATACAAACATTTCTTTGAAAGATGAACGATAATCTAATATATATCCCTTTTTCTAAACCCGAAACATCTGTTTTAAAGGATCAGACACGGGAACGAAAGAAGAGAGAACCAAACATGTTCATTTCATACCGCAAGGAAATGATGAAGAATAAACCACCTAATATGTCAATGACTAAATACAGCAAACTTGTCTCGGAATGGTGGCGTAAAATCCCGGAATATGAAAAGGCTAAACGGATGAGACAATATCAAATCAATCGAGATCAAAAAGCAAATTTAAACGAATGATGTATCACTTCGTCTGAATTTTTTTAATCAATTTTCAATTGTAATTTTTTTTTTAATAATTTTTTTTTACTTTGATCATATTTTTTTTTTTTTGATATGATAACATGAGGATTTCTTTTTAATAGCGTAAAAAAAGATATATTAACGCAATTTATAATTTAAATAGTAGGTAGAATATATCTTCAAATTATTTTCTTTTTATTATGACGATTATAGCTTTATTTGTTACTTTGCTATTCTTGAATGTATAATTTTATTTTTTATTTTTTTTTTTTTGGTTTTAAGTTATCGATACTGTAATAATTATCAAGTTTTTTATTAGTCAAATAAAATTTTAATATATCCTGTTGGTAAGATTTTTTATAAAATAGATTAAAAATGAAGAAGTTTTCTCATCTATTTCTTTAACGAAATTCATAAAGTTCTTTATTTTAATTTCGGGAAAAAAAAAAAAAAAAAAAAATCTCAAATCCATTTTCACAACTCTAATCCCGTACAAAATTTCTTCAACCATATCATAATACTCATAAGAGGATGATAAAACTAATCGTTTTTTGCTCTTGACGATAAGAGATTTACTAGATCCTATTGCGACACCGCGTGAACTATCTGGTGGAATACCCTCTTACAATAGCAACTTCAATTTCAAAATGTCATGATGATTCTTATTGATTTATTGAAGTAATTAAAATGTTTTGAACATAAAATTGTGACCATACATCTACTCCTACAAATACCAAGAATCCAAATATTGGGTTCCTATCATTTCAAATAATGTAAAAAAAGAAATAAAATTATCAGCCTATTGCAATATTTGATAATCAAGAGCATGTTCAAAGGTAACAATATTTTAACTATCAGAATGTATTAATTTTTACCATCATTATTTCTTTTGGATATGCAATCGCCAAGCCAAATTATGGTTGTAAATGAATAATTAAAATCAATAAATGATAAGTAATAAAAATTACTAATTATTACCCAACTTCAGAAATTATAACCTCAGATGGTACTCTATAAGAAGAAAGAGGGATATATAAACTTGAAAAAATGAAACGTAAAATGAAAATACCCTGTGGAATTGCATATCAAAGGGGAGTAAGCTCATGATCCATTAATCCCTTAACTTTTCCATCTTAAAAGCTTGAAATAATTGATCCTTAATCTAGTTTCAGCCAAGTATCTAGTTAATTTCCCTAGATAAGTATCTCCTCGTGATATGGACGAAATGAATGTTATGTTTTGAAAAATTATTCTTAACAACATAACAACAACGATAATTGCCAACACATGAATCAATTTGGTCATCAAAATATCATCAAAGCACATCGATACTAGATCGGATCCATTTCCGTAAGTAACAAGGATGATAAAGGATAATAATTTGAGAAGAATTTCTTCAAAAGTTCATCGGGGTCGTAAATCATAAGAATTTGCAATGTAAATTTTGCAGCAGCGTTTTGAGCTTTCTTTCTTCATATAATCGGTAAATTTGTGATGATATAATAGAAAGAGAACTTAATTTTGAAAAATCCTAATTTAAGGTAAATATAATAAATTTTTTTTTATTCTTCAGCATTGAATGTAATTTAATATAAAAATCAAATAATCATTCTTATTCTTACAGGTACCTGTTTTTACGGTTCCATAACTTTAATATAAAATGAACATTCAGAGTAAATTTAACTGTATGGAGTATTTAAATAAAATATTGAAATCAATTATGATAATAATTATAAACTTTATACCCTTTTCGAAGATTTCTTTAAAAATGTCTCTTTTTTTTCAACTAGTTTCAACCTCTTCGTTGATTGTTACAAATTAGATTCCTTTCTTGAGAGGGTGGTAATTAAATCTTTACACAAGTCGGAATTCTTGTACAAGAATACCCCTCATACACAAACACGCGAAGGTGCACTTCCTAACAACTTTAGAAATATTAGAAATATTGCCAGATTTATACGCGACTAGTCACTCGTTAATGTGCAACTTGTGGCGTGGGATTACCGTAGGTTAGTGTAATACTATGCGCCACATTAATTAATAAATCACATGCTCAAAGATTTTTTGATGGATTTGTGCCACTAGTTAAAAACACATTTTAGTAAAACCAAATAAAAAAAAGATGAGAAGAAACTTTTCTTATGAAAACGCTCGATACGAAAATATTTTAGAGATTTGTTTACTTAAATATATCCCTTAAGGTGTAGGTATAAATTGGCTATAAAACATTGTAGAAAATTATAATAATTTAATATCTAGTGATTATATAAATATGAAATAAAGTTTATTAAATTTGTCATATTAAGATCTATCTAATGATAGTATTTTTAAATTTTTAAAATTAATAATTATTAATATATATTAATTTTTCAATTTTTCAATTTTTTTAAAATAACTTATTATCTAATTAATACAAGAAAATCAGTTTAGTATTGATGATTGTTCAGTAAATCTTTACAATCAGAATCAGATAGGACAACTGGTTGGTTTAGTGGGAGCTAGTTTTCTAGTGAAGAATATTAGGCAGCAATTTTTATTTTTTTTACTTTTGTACCTGTCTTGGGATTTTCATGTATTTTATACTAAACTTGAATTTTTTTCAATAAAATATTACATAATTGTGTCTTTAAAAAAAATAATTACAAGAAAATAAAATTTAGTTTGTTGAATTTATCTTATTAAGGCCTATTAAATAATTATATTTTCATATTTCTGAGATCAATAGATAGCAAGATACTATATATAAGTTTAAAATTTTAATTTTTTTCATAATAATTTATCATATATTTATCTTTAAAATATCACTAATTAATTACTTTTTTTTTGAATTTTTACTTAGAAAACATCATAAAATTTATTATAAAAATATTAATTTTTAAATAAATTATTTTAAAAATATTTAAAAATATTATAAATAATTTTAATTATTAAATAAAATTGCAAGTAAATTTGCCTGCAAAACACTTGAAGTGATAATATTCTGATTAATTAATTTTATACATTTGAGTTTTTTTATATAATTATATTGTTTATTTTTTAATTTAACAATTTTACTAAGTAGTATAATATAAAAACTAAAATATAAAAATACTTACAAATCTAAAATCTATTTGATAAAAATAATACTTTTAATATTATACTTATTATTATTAATAAATTAAAATATTATTTTTTAAATTATTTAGCAAATAAATTTGTTTGCTAAACTTAAAAAAAAAAGTATTAATTTCTTAATAAATATAAATATTAATGAAATTAATATAATAAGAAAAATGAATTTGTAATAATCTTTTTTGTTTTTCTTAATAATAAATTATTTTAAATATTTTATATGTAAAATTTAATTTGAAAAACTTTTACTTAATATATTAAAAACAGTTTTATAAACAAAATTTTCAGTTATAAATAGTTCTTTTTAAAGTAATGAAGATTAATATATAGCTTAATCATCATTTAAAGAAAGCTCTATATGATGTCTAAATCTAAGTCTCAGTTACTTATTAGTAACTGTAACTTATCTTAAATATAAATACCTAAAAAATATCATCTAGTATTATAAATATCATCATCAGAATTTGACCTCTAGTTAGACTTAATTAGATCTCTAAAACTACTGTAACAGGATTGGATTGACGAACGTGATGCAGTATATTGCAGATCTAAATATCAGATATATCAGACATATTTGATATATTTGATATATTTGATATACTGGACATATTAGATATAATTGATATATTAGACATATCAGACATATGTGACATAACTAACATATTAGATATATTTGTTATATCTTTCTATATAATATATTTTATATAAATAGGTAACTTGTTAATTTATGTAAAAGGGGGAGAAGGTAGCTTGAGTAGTTTTAGCAGTAAGTGAGATATTGTTAACTGACGTAGGTAACCAATCCTGAAGGCCTATCACATTACGTTATAGTTTAGAGACAATCAGGCCTATCACATTATGTTACAGTTTAGAGACAACCAGGCCTATCATATTACGTTACAGTTTAGAGGCAACCAGGCCTATCATATTATGTTACAGTTTAGAGGCAACCAGGCCTATCATATTATGTTACAGTTTAGAGACAACCAGGCCTATCACATTACATTACAGTTTAGAGGCAACTAGGCCTATCACATTACATTATAGTTTAGAAGTAACCAGGCCTATTACGTTATATTACAGTTTAGAGGCAACCAGGTCTATCATGTTACGCTATAGTTTAGAGGCAACTAGGCCTATCGCATTACATTTTAGTTTTCATATTACTCTTCTTTTCTTTTCTTTATTATTATTTTACTCGTGAATAAACACAATATTTACAAATATACATCACTGGTAATCTGTTGAATCATAACTCATTGTGATAATATAAATACTTTGATAAATCGTCTGTGTTAAAACTTTTAACTGTTAAAAGATTACTGCTCAATTAAAAAGAATAAACCGCTTGAACATCTCGTCTAATAGTCATAATTCGCAAGGATTACACGTTAACACTACTATTAAAATTAAATAGAAAAATTACTTTCAACTCTAAAAAAAAATATCAGTACTAGAAGAAAAATTGTCAGCTAGCTATCCCTATTTTTACTAATACTAATCAGAATCATTATAATTTCTATTCAATTATTAAGGTATTATTACATGTCAAATATCTTATCGATTTTTTTATAAGCCTAAAATAATCAGAATACATTAAAAAAATTCAAAAGCAATTTATAAAACTAGTAAATTTAAATATTTAATAATAGAATTTCAGTAATTCTTCAAGAACTCCTATAGTAAGTTTAATTTTATTAAATTAAATTTTATTTAATTTATATAATCTTTCAAATATTAACTAACTATATTAACTTATATTTATATAATTTAGAATGCAAAAGAAATTGTAAAATATTTAAAGCATATTATTGCTAATGTTTCAACTTATTAGGATTCTAGTTACTTGACTTGGTATCGATTTTTAAAGTTAAAAGTATATATCTATACACTTGAAGCTAATTTAACTGAAAAGACTGATCAAGACTCTAAAAAAGATTCTCAAAGATTAACAAAAATAATGTTAACAAATGATAAATAGGACTTACTTTATGATTTAATTCTTATCTTAGAACCTTTTGAAGAAGCAACCAAGTATCTTAAAGATATTAACTATTCTATTTATAGTATAATAAAATTTTTAATAACTGAAATTATCAATAAACTTTCTCTTAAATCTAATAAAAATTCAACAAATACTATCGATATTGAAAATTATAAAGATATTTTTATATGAAATAAAGATCAAGATAATCCAAAAAATTCAAATAATAAAAAAAATATTAATAAACATCAAAAATATATAAATTTAAGTTATCCTATACAGACTTTAGGAGTTTTAAAAAAAGTAAAAAATGCTTTATATTAAGTAATGTTATTTTATTAGAAAAAAAATCACAAAATATTATATCTATTATTAATTCTTGATCCTCAGATTAAAAAGCTTAATTTGTATCTTCTGATGAAATAAAATGAACTGTAAACTTATTAAAAGATAAATATAAAAAATAAAATTTAATATGTCATAATATTCACAATCTTTTTCATTATTAATGCTTGCTATTATTATTACTCCTTTTATTAATTTAACATCATTCTCTACACTTTATTAATTATCTCTTTTTATTATTTTTAATTATCTATCACCTTCTAATAATCAAAATGAACTTGATGAATATCTTACTATTTCATAAATACCATTTAATAATGATTTATTTTCCTGGCGAAAGGTTAATAAAGAAAAATTTCTAATAATAAATAAGTTGATATATATAAACCTTTTAGTATCTGCTACCTCAACTCTAACTTTTCAGATTGTGAAAATTTAATAAGACCTAAAAGAATACATATCAGTTTAGAATTTTTTAAAAGAATAATTTTTTGAAAAGAAATTTTGATACTTTTGATACAATTTACAAATCATTTTAACAAAAAGAAATTATGATATTTTTAATATAAATTACAAAATATTTTAATAAACAATTAATATAATATAATAAATTTATAATAAATCATAATAAATACTTTATTTCAATAAAAATTAACTGTTTTAAATTTTTTTATTTATTTATCATATGACATATTATATTATCTGATCAATTTGATCAAATACAGATTATCTATTTATTATTCAGATTAATCATATATCTGCGAATGAAATATTTTTTAAGCAAATAAGAATCTACATACAAATTCAATTTTTTTGATCAAATGTAATTTGTATTATCTAAATTTGACCAGATTATATTACTAATCTAAGATAAATCAAAAATTAC